GCTGGGGGACTGGTTCCTGTCAATTGGAGGTCAGCCTGGACTCCATAGCTAGTTCCAATCAAGCCAGGGTCACACAGTGACACAGTGAGACCCTGTCTCATTGGTACCCTACTGCAAAGAAGAAAATCCTTAACATAAAGCAACAATTAGGCCTTAAAAGTCACTTTAAACTAAGCACTCCTGAAATTGAATATGGTCATTTCTGATAAGGCTGATATCTGAGGCAAAAACCTCACATCAGCCAACTAACTTGGAACTGTGACTAGGGACTTTCCAACAAGGTAATAATAATTTTAAAAAGCACCTTTGTAACTCTAGGTCCTGTATTCATCTCTCCCCCCGCCCTCCCTCCCTCCCTCCCTTCCTCTCTCCCTCCCTCCCTCCTTCTTTGTAGTTCTATGGATCCACCTAAAGTCTCCACCGTTAAGGCACACTCCAGTTGCTCACTGGGGAACTCAAAGCAAGGCTTTCAGCTGCACCTCAACCCCAATACTTTACTGACTTTGCTTTTGAATTCCCCCGTATGTATGTCTTTCCTGATTCTTGAATTGCTCCTCCCCCCCCCCCCCCACACACACACACGCCAACACTCTAAGATTCTGTGTGCCTCTGACGGGGCTCTTGTATCTCAAAGGTTTGAGGATGCTGACTTGGGTTCAGGGTTGCCTGGGAAGAGCCCTGACTGTGAAGACAGAGACTCGAGGTGATCAGCACCATGGAACTGAAGGGGTGCAGGGACACAGACCCTGCTGTCTCAGCTTCACCATTATTCCAGGGAGGCTTGGCTTGTTCCCTCAGTGGCTTTAAGACTTGGACACATCTGATCCACCAGGTCAGGTCCCCAGTGCTGCTCTCTAGCCTCGATCCCAGTCTGGATTTTCCTCCCCTCAAGTCTGTGATTGAGTTGATTGCATGTGACACTCCCCCCGCCCCCAACCTTTTGGGGAAACGAAGGCTGTATCTCCTGCAAGGATCATGTTGGGTTTAAACTGTCCTTTCACAGCTTCTAAGGTTTCTAATCTCTGCTCTGGGCAGATTTCACCCTACATCTCTGTCCCTCTATAAACCCCCACATTCTGAGGCTGAGGGTGTACCTCAGTTAGTAGGAAGCACACCTAGCATCAGGAAGTGCTGAGTTTGACACCTAGCATCTAAAAAACCAGGCGTGGTGAAGCATGAGTCCTGAACCTGGCTTGCCAGCTGTGTGTGCTGTCTCTCTTCTGTGAACCAGCTTTGGACAGGCTGAGACAGTAGGATCACCTCTCAGGGCCAGCCTGGTCTACATAGCAAGTTCCAGACCAACCTGGATGACTTATACCAAAGCCTTGTCTCAGTAGGACAAAATAAAAGAGAAAAACCGCAATGATGCTGGATACAAGAGTTGCTAATGTTCTCTGTGGACAGGATCTGGCTGTCCTCCTCAGGCTACTTCACTGTGGATTATCTTTATTGGTTTTTAGTGGCTAAAGAATCTTGTAAGAATGACATCAGGTGCATCAGTTATTTCTGAGACTGGGTCTCATGTAGCCCAAGTTGGACTGTCTTTTGTAGCTTGATCTGTCCTGGATTCTCCTCCCTCCATGTATAAAAGTGCTCTGACACTATGCCTGCTGCTTTTTCTTTTTCTAATGAGAAACAGAATAAACTTTTGCTATCTTTCTTTGCCACTCACATATTGAAAAATATGTGGAGTGAATCGCTGAATGAGCCTTGACTTTAACCCCATCTTAATTTTTTACCTTTGGGGAACACAGATCAGATTCAAACACTGTCTGGGGGTGGGGGTGCAGAGAGGCAGAGAGAGAGACAGAGCTGTTGTCTGGGAGCTTACTGTGTATACCGAGACTGCCTCACACTCACCATGATCCTCCTGCCTCTTCCTCTTGAGTGTTGGAATTAAAGATGGGCACTGCCCTACTGTGGGAGCCCATTCTCGGGTTCCTCGTGGCTTTACCCAGCAGGTCCACATAGAGAGTGATCAGGAGTGCAGG